AGTTGCTAACTCAGGGGCCACGGGAGCTAGAAAGCTGAAATTTTGAGGGGATGTTTCCTGACAGTTCTGGCGGCTAGCCTTAGGTTGTTCAGCTAGAAGCATTTGCCGAAAGAACCGGTGCCGGCAGCAACAAAAACTGCGGGGAACCGTACAAAAAACGCAACTTCGCTCGGGCAGCCCGTGCGTTGGTCAATTATTTGCAGTTCCATATAATGAACGCTTGCCTGGCTAAGGATTTTCACTGCTTTGCACTTTGGTCTATGCAAAAATAATTGAAGTATTGTCTAGTTCCTAAGTTGCGGAATTTCTCACTAAAAATTCCACGCACCGGTACGTGAAAGCAGAACGCGGAACTTCGAAAAGTGAATGTCCTTCCGAAATTTCAACCTCCCAGCTTTTGAGCGATTTTTAAGAGAACTTTCATTTATTCGCAAGTGAGACCTCGGCATACTTGGGAAATGTATTCAAGCTTGTGAAGCCTCTGCTTATGCAGGAAATATCCTCCTGAAATTTTCAACCTCCTAGCTCTCCTGGTTTGCGAGATAATGATTTTTCCCGCCAAAACTTTCACTGGAAAGTTGAAAATTTGCGAGGTTCTACGTGGGCAGAGAACGCTGCTCTAAAATTTCAGCTTCTTAGCCTTCTTAAGTCCCGACTTAATAATTTAAGTCCCGACTTAATAATAGTCCTACATGATACCCAGACTTAGGAGAAAGTTGAACTCAAACTTGGGGGTTGTACCTGGACAGGGGGCATTACCGTAAAATTTCAGATTTCAATCTTTTACAGTTCAGAGAGATAATAATTTCCCTGCCAAATTTTCACGAGGCCGTACGTGGCACCCAGAGATGCATGAAGGCTGAATCCAAATTTGCGCTGATAGAGGACATCACCCTAAAATTTCTGATTCCCAACTTCCGCGGTTCCCGAAATAATAATTCTTCCCACCGAAACTTTCATGGAGCCGTGCGTGATTCCCGGACATGCGGGAAAGCTGAATTTTAATTAGCGAAATCGTATGTGGACAGGGAATATTGCCACAAGATTTCGGCTTCTTAGATTCCGTTCTTCCTGAAATAATAATTTTTCCCTCGAAAAATATTATGCCGCCGTACGTGTTGCACAAGGGCACAGGAGAGCTGATTTTAAATTTGCGGGGTTACACATGAGCGGAGAACACACTCCTAAATTTTAGACTTCCTCGCCTTTGTGGTACTCCCGAGTGGAAAGTTGCGGACATGCTGCATCGGACACATGTATGTATATGTACAAACACATACAGAGAAAACCCCGTGACAGTATGTGCTTTTTGCAGCTGTTGCAAAGCACAAAAAGCATAGTTAACAAGTCTGCAAAAGGAAGCACGGCCACTCCTAGCTAGGTACATACTTATATGTACGATACTCTGCAGAGCCAAATGGATGTGGAGAAGACAAAGATCTGAAGAACTAAGTTAAGAATAAAATAAGACATTTCGCCTTAGGTCGGTGCCGTAGCTGAAATTCTTCAGAAAGCTGCTAGTTAACCTGCGCTCAGATCTCACTATAACCAAAGTTAGTCGCTACTAGTCCTTTTCCCCTTCTGGATTTTTCACTGTCAAGCATTGTTTTTATCAAATTTAGAAATTTGCCATACGTTTTTTTCAAATTCAGCTATATTTTATAGATTTGAAAAATTTCTGTCGGTGCACCAGAACTTCGAGTGAGTATTTCCAAGAGTTACCAAGAATGCCTGGACTGGTTGGATCAGTCGGTATGAAGATTCGATGATATAGAAATCTTAGCAATTTAACTTTGCTGTAATCTAAATAAGGGTGAGAATGAATTTATCCCTCCACTCTTGTAAACTGTTCATCAGCTTGGCCACTGCAGGAGTAAATAACAGGACTAGCGAAGAAATAAATAACGAACTTGTTGATATGGAAAAGTTCGTGGTTGCCGCGCAGGAGGAAGACGAATTTTGGAAATTGTATTTTACAAGCGAGTAATAAAACAATCACTTCCAGTGGATGTCGACCTCGATCAACATAATCACCCAGAAATAAATAGCGCACTTTGAACGGCAAACCGCAGGACTAAATACAGATACTGTTTCACATCACTGAACACGCGGAAGTCAATAAAATGCCAGTAAAACAGATTATATCTGCAAGATGTTTAAAACGCAAGGCCAGCAAAATGGTGCTTAGAACATAGG